TTTCTTACAAAAAAAGTCACAAATTAAACCAAAGTATTTTACAGAATTTACTACAAAACACCGTAAAAACTGCCTTCACTTAAGCTCTCTCCCCCCGTATCCGGCGAGCCAACTGGATGTCTTTGGGCATGATGGTGACTCTCTTAGCGTGGATGGCACACAGATTAGTGTCTTCAAACAAACCCACCAGGTACGCTTCGCTCGCCTCCTGTTGAGGACAAGAGCCACACTATTAAGCTCTCCGGAGAGGAGAAACCAGCCTCGAGCCCTCCGCCCCTGCCGTGGCCTTTGTCGTCTTACCTGCAGCGCACCGATGGCGGCACTCTGAAACCTCAGGTCTGTTTTGAAATCCTGGGCGATCTCCCTTACCAACCGCTGGAAAGGCAGCTTCCGGATCAGAAGCTCGGTCGACTTCTGGTAACGACGGATTTCTCGAAGCGCAACGGTTCCGGGCCTGAGTGAGAATGTAAACCGACACCAGTTAACTGACAGCGCCGGCGCCCTACCGGGAGCCGTTCCCGCGCCACCCAGCGCCGCCGAGTCATTGTTTTCCCTCCGCCGTGCCTACCTGTAGCGGTGAGGCTTCTTCACCCCGCCGGTAGAGGGAGCGCTTTTCCTGGCAGCTTTAGTCGCCAGCTGTTTGCGGGGCGCTTTCCCACCCGTGGATTTGCGAGCAGTCTGCTTGGTTCGGGCCATTTTCTTTCACCTAAACGAGACACCCATGACACCCTGCCGCGCCGCTCGCCAGGGGTTGGGAGTGAGGGGGACGGGACAGGCTCCGCACAGCGCCCCTGCCCTCCCACCTCTTCGCGCCCCACCTCGCGGCGGCGGCAGATGGCCGAGACCGCCGCCGCCGCCTCCTCCCCCTCCCCTAATGACTCAGGCTGCGAGTATCAGCAGCCTCCCCCGGGAGGGGGAGCTCGGGGAGGAGTCACTTCCCTTCCTCGACGGGCGGAGGCCCTGGTGCCCGGAATCCGGCGCCGGGAACCTCCACAGGAGACGCGATTCCGGAACGAAACCCCAAAAGAAAAACTCCCGACCCCACACTCGATGCCAGCGGCAAGAGCAGCCCGCAGCACCCCGCACTCCGCCTCCAACGGCCGCGGCCCGCGGCATCAACGGCTGGCGCGGCCTCAAGTCACGAATCAATACATAAACGCTTACCCAACACCGAAGTCTTAGGCCGTTCTTCGTTCGCCGCGCCGCTTCTGCCTCCCAAGGAAAGGCCGCAGCCACCAGGCAAAGTAAAGCAGCTGCTCCAACGAACACCCAAACCGCTTTGCTCTATCCCCCCCAATGCCTCCGCTTTTATACCCACGCTACACGCTGCGTCTCTCCGTCATAAGGCTCTCATTTGCATACACCGACGACTTTTTCTATTGGTCGGAGCTTTCGCCGACGCGTTGACATCCCCCGACACAAAGGCCGTGCTTCGGCAGTGTTCTCTGATTGGTGGACATCTAGGCCGCTGATTGGCTGCTAAAGTGGACTAACGATTGGATAAAAGCAAAGAGAAATGGACGAATCAGGGTTTAGCACTAAGCGGCTCTTCTCATTGGATAAAATGGAGCTATGTTTGGATCCTTCCCTTGGTTCCAAAGCTCTACAATAGAAAGTCAATGCAAATCAATTGCATTGGTCCCCATCAGGAGTGCGAAGACCGGGTAGGCAGAAGCCTAACCTTATTTGTATCGAGGAATGCAATCAATGTAGGAAGAGGTTAGTTTAATAAAATTTTTGTAAATATTTTCCAAGGTAAAATAAAATGTGTTCTCTATTATTACTTACTTTTCATTAGGATTTTGGTAGTTTTAATTCAGTTTTTTGTTCCCAAGTTTTATTTAAGGACTCATAAAATATTCCAGGTAAATGTTTTAATTCATTTTAACTTTTTGACAGTTCAGTATGTAGTGTAAATGAAAACTGGAATTCAGTAAATCATATGTTACCCAAGTATTTTATGTATTTTTCACATACATTTTAACCAAAAATCAGTTCCTTTGTTTGGTAGTGTGGAGAAGGGTGAATAATAGCTACAAAGAAACAAATACCAGTAAATGATGTTGTAAGTACCATTTTGTATGGCCTCAGGCCTGCTGTCACAAAATGCCTGGTGATTTCAGTATGCAACTAACCAAGCGACATGGCTTTGAATTATGCAATTCAACTGAATGAAACTACTACAGTGAAAATGGGAATAGTCCCACAACAGCATCTGCATGTCCATAACGAATACAGAAAAGACACCTGTATTCAACATGCGCCCCTGTTTGACGGCATGCCCTAGAGGTGTTACTTGGGGAGAAACATGACAAACGTGTGAAATGTTAACTCCTATCCTTGCCTAAATAAATATCTTGGAGGGACTGCAATGTTGAGCACTCCAGTGATGCAGGTATGTGGAACACCAAAACAGGCTTAAGGTTAAGACCAAGCAAAACCCAGAAATTGAAATAGAGCCTTGAGCCATCTACTCCACAATCTTTCCTTTGGGTACACTGAATAGTTTATTAAAATCTTTTTATTTTATCAAAGCCAGTTACAGATCGATTTCAACTCAGAGAATTAGTACACATAAACACAAACACCTCACAAATGTACTGACGACACCAAAAGTCCCCTCTTGGTATCAACAGTGAGAGAAAAAGGTATAATTTGGAAAAGTGGCCGTGGCAAAAACATCTTTGGCCCAACCTCCGGTACTGAATTACTCTAATTATTTCAGCCTGTTCAATGATAACACTCAAAATAAGTATTTATCATATTTAGGCTTTTGTGTGATGTGCTCAGAGTTTAGGGTAGCAGAAAGATGAAGCTTTCTATTCACGACATGCTGAGAGGAGAAACCAAGATGGAGGGAGGCTCTTTTTTTTTTTTTTTTTTTAATTTTTAGAGAGGGGAAGGGAAGGAGAGAGGGAGACATCATTGTGTGGTTGCCTCTGTGCGCCCCCTACTGGGGACCTGGCCTGCAACCCAGGCATGTACCCTGACTGGGAATCCAATGGGGCCCCCTTTGGTTCACAGGCTGGTGCTCAATCCACTGAGCTACACCGGCCAAGGATGGAGGGAGGCTCTTGCCCTGTTCTCAGAACCCGTGTAAAGGAACACAGCACTGCTTAGATCTCACAGGAGACTGTCCAATACTCTCAAATATAACTAGAAAAACACCCTGCCATCTCTGTTCCCACTGCTTAAATGGCCTGGGAAGGAATGGGTTCCTTGAAACACACCTTTGTATTCCGGCGTTTTCACAGGTGATCTGGAACCCCGTCTGTCCCATGCCTCCTACAGGAGAGACAGTGGGTTTTTTTGTTTCTGTTATTTTTTCTTTCAGTTTTGCTAATTATTAGAGAGGAAGTAAAACTGCTCCAGGAGCAACCGGGTGTGGATTTACATTCATCTACTTAAGGACAATTAGTGAAAATAGTTTGTCCTCCTTGTCAGTCATACAGACTCGTTTTTCTTTTTCCTAAATAGGTGCAGGGGAGGAAAAGCAACGCAGGAAATGGAGAACTGCAAAAGTGTTTATACGATCGAAACAACGCCAGATGTGATGCAGACAGCTGTTCCAGTTTCTGTTCTGTCACAGACTTGCTGAGTAACTCTGTGCAGGTTACTCAACCTCTCTGAGTTTCCTTTTCTTGTCAATTAAGCAGATTGGGTGATCTCTCCTAATTCTACTAGTACACATTTACTTATTCTGAAGCTCATGCTGTACACTTACTTAAAATCTAGCACTACACACTAACTGTATTTCTTCATTCAAATCACACTGGAGTGTTTTGGGGATAATATAAGCCAATTATTGAGATTTAATAATAGGATTACAACACTACACTACAACATTTATTTGTCCTTTTGTAATTTCTCATCTTCCAATGCCCCTAGTGGTAAATACTTGCCTGTTTAAGAAATACCAGTTTCACCCTGGCAGGGGAGCTTAGTTGGTTAGAGCATCATCCAAGGTTTCTGGTTGCTAGTTTCATCCTGGGTCAGGGCACATACAATAAGCAAGAAATGAATGGATAATTAAGGGGAACAACATCTCAATGTTTCTCTCTCTTTCTCTCCCCACTTTTCTCTCTCTCTAAAAAGGAATTAAAAAAAAGAAGGAAAGAAATACCAGTTTCTTAATTTTGTAGGCTGACAATTTGGTTTCTGATGGGAGGTTACTGGGAACTAAATAAAAATAGGTATGTGTCATTCTTAAATAACAATTTTTCATTCACCCCATCCTCCCTCACTCTAAGGTAGTTGAGAATGTTTCTTTAATGGGATGATCGTTAGTTAACAACAGCGTTAAAATGTCTTTGAAGAACTTTATAAAGCTCACAGAATCAAATGCCTAGGTCTGGGGCAACTGGCTTATTTTACAAAGGCCACGGGGTGAAAAACTTAGCCCCGCTGGTGCGAAGTGGGAAAGGGACACATTTTCCCAAATAGAAAGGCTGACGTTCAGAGCAGGAAACTGGAGTGGGTCATAAATCGCACCACCTACTCAAACCCAGGCCCTTCCTTTGGACACTATATGCTGCTCCTCAGCGCCCCTGCAACTTGCCGGTGTACCTCCATTCCAGATGGAGATTAAATTCGCCCTTGGCCCCTACTGTACTGGAAACAAGTTGGGTCAGGCCAGGTGTGGTGGTGACAAAGGAACCAAATCGTGGAGTTCCAGGTTTCAGGGTGGCTAAATGTTTATGGAGCGTCCCCAGCAAAGACGCGGGAACCGAGTATTGCATCGCGTAGCTCCTCTTTAGCAAACCTTTCTCAAGCTGATTTCCACCGGGCCGACTTTCCTTCGTGCCTGATCCGTAGTCCCGCTGCTGGACTGAGGATGTTGTGGCGCACTCCGGGTGCCGGCAGCACAAACGGACCGCACAAGATTCTTAAGCACTGCTAAGGGCTGGCATCTGAACTGAGCCCAAGTTATACCAAGTGTGGAGGCGAGGTAATTATTACACTCTTGGCAGTAAAATTACACCTGGAACTGTTTCACAGAAGTCTTCAGGGCCTCCCTAGCTCTGGGCCCCATCTACTCCAGGGGATCCTGTTTCAAGGAAAAGTACCCCTACGAAACTGGAACTGCGCTAAGAAGAAACGCAGCAGGACTACAATTCCCTAAAGCCGTCGCGGGGCCTCAGCATCCGGGACACAGTCTGCAAGGATCTCTGGGTATCGTGGTCCGATCCTTTGGCAGCAACCCTCTGCCGACGGTAAAATTCCGGCCGAAACGGAGACTACAACTCCCAGAAATCCGTGCTGCCGTGCGGGGGGTCTTCACGTTCTCGTGGCGCGGCGCAGGCGCACTGAGACCTCGGCGCGGACCGCGCAGACTGAATAATAAAAGGGGAGCGGCGAAGAGGCAGGAAGACAGGACCATGTCGAAGGGCCCCGGGCCCGGCGGCTCCGCAGCTTCCTCGGCGCCCCCGGCCGCTACCGCTCAGGTGCTGCAGGCACAGCCTGAGAAACCGCAGCACTACACGTACGTAGAGCCCCCCCCGCCGCGCGCGCACGCCTGACGTCAGCGGCCAGCGTGAGTCACGCGCGCAGGGAGAGCGCGAGGCGGCCTCTCCCTCCCCCCTTTCCTCCTCCGGCCCGGCCCAGACCGGTTCCAACCTGCTGGGGCCGGTCCCGACTGCCTCCAACTGCCACCGACCTCTGGTCGGGCCTTGGGGCGGGAGGCTCGGTCCCCGCCGCTCAGTGGGGAAGGCAGGAGCGCGGGGTGCGGAGCGCACACACACCTTAGGTCCGGCCTTCGAGGCCTCACTGTTCCTCAGACCGTAAACCACAGTAGCAGGCCCTCGGGGGGCGAGGAGGAGCCCGAGACCCGGCCAGCGTGCGTTTCTTGGGGGCCAGCCCTGCGGCCACCTGTGAATGGCGATTAGCGTGAAGTCCAGGCCTTGTCTGCCCGCGAGGCCCGAGTGTTCTCCACGTACACAGTTGCCCGCACCTGGAGTCGGGGATCCCGAGCGGGATGGGGTCGGAGCATGTCCGCAGGCCCGCCCGCAGCGTGCCACCGGAGGGACACCCCCAAGTGCTGACACTGGAATTCCAGGCCGGGAACGTGGGGAACCGATCCCTGGGAACCGGCTCGTGTCTCCGTGTAGGTCCCAGTCCTCCTCCTCCTCCTCCTCTTCCTCCTCCTCCTCCTCCCTGCCTTGGAAGGCACGTTAGGCAGTAGGCGCTTTGGGGAGACAGAGAGAGGAAAAGAGGCGGGCCTTCCTGTGAAGCCAAGTGCTGGTCTCCCCGTTCCCCGAGGCTCTTGGGGTGCCTCTGGTCCCCGTGGGCTCCTGAGCGATGCGCACGCTCGTACCTCGGGCCCGAGTCACCCGCGGGGGCCACCCGGTGAACCAAGGGCAGGAAGCGCTGCTGGAGCAGAAAGGACTGCGAGTAGACAGGAGGAGCTCGGGCCACGGGCCACAGACGTAGAAGCCACGGGGAAGACCCACGGGCAAGCGTCCTGGGCCTGGGGCGCAGTTGCAGGAAGCGCGCGGTTTCCTGGTGAGCCGCTCTGCCATTGCTTGACACCGTGGGACCCACGGGGACTCTCCCTCCTCTCACGTGGCCGTGGCGGCGGCGCCGGTCCTTTTCTCGGCGGACTTCTGTCTGCCATCCTGCCGTTGTTTCGGTGAGGCGGCCGGGCCGTACAGAACGCTGACTGGTCGCGTGTTGCGGTCCGTCGACAGTGCGGTCTTGAGTGGGAAATCCCGCAAACTTGGCGTAATTGGAACTTCGTGAACTCGGGTTCCTCGAATCACGCTGTTCAGTCAACGCCCATAGTGGTTTTGAGTCACGCGGGTCCTGGTCTCAGCAGCCTCTTTCTGTGTTGCGTTGTTAATTGAGTATTCTGAGGCGTCTGACGTTAGAAAGGCTTTCTGCCCTGGCTGGGGTGGCCCAGTGGACTGAGCGCCAGCCAGCCGGCCTGGGAGCCGAAAGGTCGCGGGTTCGCTCCCCAGTCAGGGCACGTGCCTGAGTTGCGGGCCAGGTCCCCAGTTGGGGGCGTGGGAGAGGCAACCGGATCGATGTTTTTTTTTCTCTCCCTTCCCGCCTCTCTAAAAGTAAATAAAACCTAAAAAAAAAAAAAAGGTTTTCTGATCCTTATGGAATTGATAGATGAAACAAGTCAACATCTGTGTGTAAATAAATGTTAATATCTGAGTCTTTGTTCTCTTGATGCTCACTTGTCGAAACTCTCTTTCCATTCCGTGTGGGGTAATGCAGAGTCATAGGGCTTGGCTCTTGAGGTGGCTTAGTGAGTCCACAGTGAGTTTGATTGGGTGGTTGGGGATTTTAGGTGCTACCATGTCTTTATTTTCTGTTGTCTGTTCATTCGTGTGTGTGTGCAGTGTGTGCTTATGTTTATGTTAATATCTCCAAAAAATCAGAGCTAGAAATCAGCTGTCTTCCTTGGTAGATTTGTGTGTATTCCGAAGGTGGGATGATGGGGAAAACTTCCTTCCTTTGACGCCCCAGGCTTGAGGAGCAGGGAGGATTGGGTCACGGAAGGTGGCCCCAGCACACTTGTTGGCCCTGGATTTTTTTTGTTGTTGTTTGTTTTTAAGATGAACCCATTTGTTGCTTTTGGGGGTTAGGGTTAGGATACAATAATATTTTTAGGTTTACCTTTTTTAATTTTTAAAAAACTTTATTGAAGCCTTGGCTGGCGTAGCTCAGTGGATTGAGCTTGGGCTGCGAACCAAAGTGTCGCAGGTTCAGTTCCCAGTCAGGGTACATACCTGGGTTGCAGGCCTCAGCCCCCAGCCACCGCACATTGATGTCTGTCTGTCTGTCTCTCTCCCTCCCCCCCTCCCTCCCTCTCTCTCCCTCCCCTCCCTCTCTAAAAAATAAATAAATAAAATCTTTAAAAAAAACTTTATTGGTTTTAGAGAGGGGGAAGGGAGAGAGACAAACATCAATTTGTTGTTCCACTTATTTATGCCTTTATTGGTCGCTACTTGTATGTATGTCCTCTGACCCAGGGGTTGAATCCACAACCTCGGCATATCAGTACAATACTCTAACCAACTGAACTCCCCAGCCAGGGCTGGATACAGGAATATTTTTATTTTTATTTCAATATTTGTTACCAAGTTTTGAGCTGCCCAGCAAATTTTCATTCTCCCTTGCAGCATGAATTTCCAGGATTCGTTCCAGTCTGATTATGGCCTTAGCTGTTGTGTGGGTGCCCTCACTGAGTACAGACACAGCCCCGTGGTGGTGTCCACACAAAGCTAAGTCTGCTTTGAATGTTTGTATTTTCTTTTTCCTGTCAAAATGTTTTACCTTTACAATTTTTCTAAAATCACTTATTACATTGATTTTATGTTTTGTTTTGTTTTTTTGCACCTGTGTTATGTGCGATTATGTGACATGCAACCATCATTGCAGTGATCTGGAAGAAATTTGCACTAAAATCGAGTCCCTCGCCATAATGGCAGACAGTCTCGGCAAACCCAACGGAATCCACCAAAAGCAAACGTTGCCTTCCCGTGTGCAGTGTTTCCCTTCTGTGCGCCTTCTTCCACTTGTCCTTGTCCCACGGCGGAAGTCCTCGAGTCTGAGCCCAGTTTTCTAAGTTAAGAGGATTATTCGTAACATAGCTTGAAGGATAATTGTTTTGTCCGTCTTTTTTCTAATCTCTTGAATAATCTTGATTTAAGAGAAACTTTAAAATAATCCTTTCAGCAGGCGCTTGTGCTAGACCTGAGGAATTTGACCCTTTTAGAAAATGGGTGTATCAGAATTTCCTTTGTCGAATGTCTCCGAGTGTGAGGCCAGCGCTCTAAAATGATAATGCGTGTGTCTTCGTGCTCATCCAATATAGGAAACACAGGACCTCTTGCTAGGTGATTTCTCTTTTTATTTCACAAAGACCCAGGTTTACTTAGAACAAGACCATCTTATTTATTAGAAGAGTTTCAGCCCTGGCCAGGGAGCTCAGTTGGTTGGAGTGCTGTCCTGATACACCAAGGTTGTGGGTTCAATGCCCGGTTAGGGCGCATGTAAGAGTCAAGCAGTGAATGCACAGGTGAGTGGAGCAAATTGAGGTTTCTCTCTTTCTCCCCTCCCCTTCTCTCTAAGATTAAAAAAAGAATAAAAGTTCTATAAAAGTAGATACAAGAATGAGAAATTTTAGAACAATTACATTCTGAAATACATCTACAAATTTAGCCAGTTTGGGGCTTATTGCTATATAACAGTTGTATCATTATTTTGACCTTATAAGAACCTCAGAGACATTAAGTCATGTTTGGATTCCTGCACTTGTAGTTGATTCTCGACGTTCTCAACACCTTGTGTTAAAGGAAAATGAGTTTCTACTTCCAGGAAGGTTTCTTGGAGTTTTTGGTCACTGGGTGATTTCTCATAGGCAGACAGAGGATAAACACTTTAAAGATTTCATTTAGTCAAGTGTCCTTTTAGTTTAGGACTTTTTCCTAGGATTTTTAAACAGGGATAATGTGGCAGTATGTCCATAGATAACTACTTGGAGGCAACTTTGTTAGTTTGTATGTTACAGAAATATCATGAACTTCACTTGATTGCATCTGGTCATATTTTGGAAAACCCAAGACGTGAGTGTGTGGTTCAGTCATTATCGCAGATGCGGCAAGACCGCACATGCGTTCCTAGGGTGCAACTTGTTGCACAACTGATATCATTGGAAGCGTTGCCTAGCAACCTCCGCAAGAATGAGTTAAATTACCAATAAATATTTCTGCTTCTCTTCTCTCCTCTTCTCTTTTCTTTCTTAATTGATTTTAGAGAGAGAGGAAGGAGGAGAAAGAGAAAACATCCATTTGTTGTTCCACTTGCTTGTGCACTCATTGGTTGATTCCTGTGTGTGCTCTGACTGGGGATGGAACCTGCAGCCTGGAGTTCTGGGATGATGTTCCAGTCAACCGAGCTCCCGGCCAGGGCTGGAACTAGTTTCTTTCTTTTTTTTTTTTTTTAAGATTTTATTTATTTTTAGAGAGGGAAGGAGAGAAAGAGAGAGAGAGAGAAAGAAAGAAAGCGAAAGCGGTTGCTGGGGGCCGTGGCCTGCAACCTAGGCATGTGCCCTGACTGGGAATTGAACCTGTGATGCCTGGTTCGCAGCCTGAACTCAATCCACTGAGCTATGCCAGGCAGGGTGGAACTAGTTTCTTGCAGAACCAAAGTTAAGAGCTCATTATGGCCTTCAGTCAAGCCCACAGAATTCCTATTTATAAGTGTTAACTGCTCATCTTAAGGGTAGAGTCAAGCTTAACATCTAGTTGATGTTTGCCATAATCTAAATTAATGGTTAAAGTGAAGATTTGCTTAATGGTTAAGATTTTTTGTTTTAATCCAGCCATGTTAGATACTAAAGAAGGCTTCCCCACAGCACATAGGCATCCGCTTTGACTGGTGGTTTCTGTCATCCTGCAAAGACTGACTTAGGGTGAGGGCCACTGGACAACTCTGAGAGCAGCTCAGAGCAACCCACCGGGGCTCACTCTG